ACCTGCATATGCCCAGACCAGAAAAAAAAATAAAACTGGTTTATTTAAAACCTTATAATCTTGAGGTGAAATCCTGGCACATTGAAACCCATGACAAAATTCCTATTGACTGCAGCTAGGGTCAGGAGTTCAGGAAGTTAAAAAAAAAAGAAAGCAGCCAATCAGACTCACGAATGAGCTCCATTCACGGAGTCTGAATCCACAATGAAATGAATTATTTAATTTAAATAATGTGTAAAATTTAATACAATATCAATGGGATAATAATCCACTTACAAAATAAAATGACTTCCAAAAATAATCAAATACCAGACTTCCAGCAACTAAAACTTTAAACTACTTTAATTGTTCAATCACTTTCTTATCATAAAAGACAATATTCAAATTAACCTGGAAGAGATTTATTTGCTTTGTTTGATTGATGGGAAGAATAGAAGAGCACAGTGTTTTGATTTGGCTGTAATGAAAATGAAAATGAATGAGCTTGGGCAAAAGCAATCTGTAAAAGTTTTTTTATGCAAAGGCTGGAATTCTATTTAATTTTTGTGAATTTAACTGATGGGTTTCTAGCTGTGTAAGTGCTAAAAGTGGCATTTATGCACAGGTAGCAATTCTTTCCTCCCTGCAGTGTGAATGCATAAGTGGGTGCATGTAGACTGAGCATGTGCAGTAGGCCACGTGTGTATGTGGCTATGTACATGTACCCATTGTGGATGAGTACCAGCATCTAACTCCTGAAAATGTAGGCTGCCAGAATTCCACATCTAGTGGATGTCAGATAAAGATGGGTGGGGGGGGCCTCCCATGCTTTAACCCCAGTGGCTGTGTACTTTGGGCAGCTAAGATACGGAGGCACATGAATAAGCTGGGAGGTGGAGTACAAGCAAAAGTGTGCGTGGCTCAGTGAAATAGATGCTTCTTGGAAAGGAGAAGGCCCTGAGCTCTAGTTGGGACTCATGGTCCCAATAGGGCTTTAAAAAAAAATCTCCACTATACTACTACCCTCCATTCACTTTAGGTAACAACTATTAAATGTGGGCAACAGGAGCTCAGCTTCAAAAGGAGCAAAGGTCTGGATCTGTGGTGTTCTAGTTTCAACACTGTACTAGAAAGTCGTAAGCATACAGCTTCAATCCCCTCTAGAACATTACTTTAAGTTATGCTGGTTTTATTTGCAATTGTAAGGAATGGTTAGTAGTAAGCATTAAAAGGAATACGTGTTCTAAAGAGATCAAACATTAACTTAACTTTTGCTAGTACAAGGGAGGCTAGGGGACAGTGATCATGAAATGATCCAGTTTTCTATTCAGAGAAAGGTGGGGAGGGTAACTAGCACAGCGCAAATGCTTGACTTTAGGAAAGCGAACTTCGATGTGCTCAGGGCAGTAGTCAGGGAGGCACTCGGAGCCCAGGGGGTAGCTAGTATGGGGGTCCAGGAAAGGTGGTCCTTCCTCAAG